TATATTAGTTCTTAGCACGTAAGTGCAGAAAACAACATTTGCGGGTGCCAAACTATGCCTTGATCCGGACAATTGTACGCGAATGGTTCGTTGGTACTTCGTACCTTGCATGTGTGGCTTTCGTAGTCGAGCGATGGTACTTGTATTTGATACGCGGCCTTCTACCTCCGCAGCAACGCCATAATCGTAAGATATGAGCCGTACACTGTATTATGTATTTCGTGGGTGTGCGAGTATCGGACCTAAATTTCATGTTCCGTTTTCTGCGTTGTGGCTTCTCATTTTGTGCTATTCATATTAAAACTTTGAGACGGAATGAAACGTTCTCGGTGCTGCATGCTGCGTTTGTTCGCTTTACTCTCGAAGATAACAACCGTGTTCCTAAGACATGCTGCTATAATGACGCGGCAGTTAATACTTCATATTTTGGCGAAATATGGGTATTTATGCATTTTTTTTAAGATCTATCTGCGACATGAAATGCTGTTACGGTGATTAAATACTATGAGGATGCGAGTATATAATATATAAATACACTATATTATGCACTCCGGTACTATTTATCTATAACGAGTGATCCCGCTAAAATCCGCCAGATGCTATCCGACTATCCGTACATGATAAGGAAGATGCATTCATGTAGAGACCATACACTGTAGTCACTACTGCACTTAAACCTGTATTTCCTTTCATCACTACATAGAACGAGTAAGCTATATATTTTTTTTTTGACTAGAGTCATTAATCAGTGCAGGAATGATACATTGATAGCCGATTTTTTTACAATTATTTTCAATAGGCCTGAATTCGAGTGTCAAACTGCTGAAAAAATGCATTTAAATTTTAGTAACATGGAACTCAGAATGGCGCACATTTTTTTTATCTTGAATTGGTTGTGTACCAGCCAGATACTCTAGCTGGCAAAAAAAATCTGATGTGGCTAGTAATGTTTAAAAATACAAATTCAGTTTGTTATGAAAATGAGCCTGACATCTATTATGACTGTTATGAATGCAATCCAACTGTTGCTGATACATTATTACAGTAAAGTTGGCTACGGACCAACGTTGCAGTACAATACAGGGTCGCAAAGGGGCGTTGGCTCTCCTAGATCGAATGTAGAGCAACGGTAGATAGCACGGTGAAGGCACGCGCGCAATAGATGTCGACTTATCTCCTCGGGTCAACTGCCCAGAACACATCCACGCGGAGCTTTGCCTTCTCTGCTCTGCCTCTCTCTCTCGCTCCGTCTGCTCTCTCTGCCTCTCTCTGTCTCTCTGTCTCTCGTCTCTCTCTCCATCTGTCTCTCTCTCTCTCTCTCCAATCTCTCTCTCATCATCTCTCTCTCTCTGCTTTCTCATCTCATCTCGTCTCTCTCCTCTCTCTCTCCCCCCCCCCCCCCCCCCCCCCCCCGTCTCTCTCTCCTCATCGCTCCTCTCTCTCTCCTCTCTCTCTCCTGCGTGCGGCCAGGTGCGCGCTCAGTCTGTGTTCTTTCTTCTCTCTAATCGTCTATCTCCGCTTACCTCCGACTCCCATCTCTACTCTGTCTCCCATTACTCTCATTTAACCCCGTTTCGCGGATGGTGTCGACAGATTACTCCCAGGTAGCTATCCGTTTCTCAGCTAAAACTTTCTCACGTCCGTAATGCACGATATATGGGCTGGATGTACGGCTATAATGGCGAAGTTAACAGTCACACGGAAGCACACGGAACGCCTTTTTATACAACTAACCTGGATAATGTTGAGGCGAACTATAGGTCAATCTAGTTTACTAGTCAATGTATTTAGAGGGGATGGGGTAGCAGAGGTGACCAAAAAGAAGGAGGGGAATTGGATAGGAATTATGGAATAGCGAAGAGGGGCGTTGAAAGCATGGGAAAGCGGCTGAAAAGGAGAGAGGGAATAGACAGAAACAATATGATGTTATGGGAGGAATGAGGGAATGAGGGGGAGGGAGAGAGGGGGAAGGATGATGTAGAGGGAGGGTGAAAGGGAGGGAGGGAGGTAGAGGCGAAAGAGACCAGAGACAGAAGTAGGCGAGTGAACTAGGATGTAAAAAAGAGCTAGAGGCGAAGGGTGCGGGTGATTGAGGGAGGAAGAGGGAAGGAGGGAGAGAGAGACTGTAGTCAGAGACAAACCAAAATCGATAGCAGCTGGCATATCTAAGCATCCTACGATGTGCAAATAGCCACCGACGGGGTAACTACGCTATAGCTTTGGCTGCTTTTTCGGATAACCTTTGAAAAATACAAAGAGAATGTCGTGGGCGCGATAGCGCCCGATAGCTTAATAAGGAAAGTTAGGGGGAGGAACAGCGAGGGAGAGGAAGGAAGGCAAGGGGGAAGTGACCCTTCTAAACCCCCTTACCTTAAACTTCTAACGTCTAAACTCCTCATCTCTTAACTCCTGACCTAGCTCTTTAACTCCTCAATCTTTAAACCCTTACCTCTAAACTCTACCTTAAACTCTTCACCTCTTAATTAACTCCCAATGTCTAAACCCCCAACTGTAAACTCCCAAATATAATTATAGTTATGACTATATACTAACTATAGTATAAGTAAAATTATATCCATACGTATAACGATTACCTGGCAATTTCAACAGCAATTCAACCAAGAGACAAATAGACTGATCAACACTGCGTATCGCAGTAGATTTTGCAAAGTGATCAAGACAGGAAGAAAGAGATGGGATGACAGAAACCAGAATGAAGCTAAACTTCAAGAAATCCTTTAAATGTGAAGTTGTACAGGCATTTATACAAGGGATACGAACGTGAAGATACCCTTAAATGCGTTCCAATAGCAAAAAGTCGCCCACAAACAGGGAAGCGTTCAGATTTTTTTGAACACGTTTTTTTGCAAGCTTTTGCTTGCCAAGATCACGTGGTAAATAATGAATAGGTAAGAGCGCTGAAGACCTTCCTTGCGTATACGATATTTTATGTCTCTAGTCCCTGGCATCTGCGAAAGCAGATCGTAGAGCCATGTCAGGACTAACTGCTGAGTAGAGTTAGTGTTGGTTTAATTATATTGTATCTAGGACTGCCGATGTATCTTCATAAGTAATATTTCACCATTGCGATTAGCTATATATCAGTGCTTCGAAATAAGCGTTGTCCGGGTTGTCGCGAGGACAACCAGAATTTGCGTTCCGGACAAACGCTAACCAATCTGAGAGCATTGTCCGGTGGACAACCAAGAAACGACTATCCTAACCGCTAACTACTAACTCTAAACCAATCCTGGCTAACGCCACTGGTTTTTGGGTGTTTTCTGATCATATATTAATGTGATTGAAATAGGAAAATTTGGAGATATTTTTTGAGACAACCAGAAATTGTTGCGGACAACGCCGATTTGATGGCGGGTTGTCCGGCAGGACACCACATTTTTTTTTCTATTGTCCGAGCACTGTATATGTAGGTTTTGATATAATAATATATATATATAATTATTTATTTATTTATATTAGGTTGATATATCAAGATAATTGTATTGTTTTGTGTGTTGTTCTCTTTTCGTGGTTTTCTTTCAGGTCCCCCACAATCTGGATCACCACGTTGCCGTCGTGTGGGGGCTTGCCGTACTCGCTATTGATTCTAAGGTCGAAGTCAGCAATGGTCTAACCATGGCTGACAGCCGGCCAAGGAAGAGGAGTCAGACTAGGAGTGATCCAAAACGCCTGCACACTACTAACTTAATTTACTTATTATGATTTCTTAGACGCTTGTTTGTCCAAGATTTTTATTGTATGATTGTGGTCAGGAGACACTGAAGGAGAATTTATAGGCTGTGTATGCCACAGGTTTTTTGACATGGTGGTCAAAGAGCACGTGTATTGTTCCATATTACGTTATCATTCATGACGTTTCATTGTTGCGACCAGCTCCACTTTGGGCAGGTTTTAAGACATCGATGTGGAGACATCGATCTAAGCCAGCCGCAGAACCCATTGCTGAGTGTCATGCTAGGCATTAGATCAGGTAGTTGTCTAGTCATTTTGGCTTCGCCATTAATAGTACAATAATTAATAACACGTAATAATATGTCACAAAGAAGACATATGTAAGTGAAAAAAAAAAATAGAAAATAGGAATACCACTTGGAATGTAACTGCTCTTTCTCTAGTTGGTTGAGATTGAGTCCCAATCATTTTGTAATCACTGTATTCGACTAAAGACTGATTTACGAAATGGACCGTGTTCCTATCTATGATGACTCATTGACTGGTGCAGCCGCTTCTATCGGCATTGACAACGTCCTGACTCACAACACGATGCCGGTTATTGACTGCCCCATCAACAGAGTGCGAATGCGCCAACCGTTCCGGACATCGACAGCGATCGTGGCAGCAGCTCTGCATATCGACTCATCGCCACGCTCTCATAAACGAGCGACGCTACCCACCAGTGTCGGCCACTGCGAAGGTGGAAGGGTAAACGGACAACTATAATCTTCGCGCCGGCACAAAGCAGAAGTCTGGTCCTAACTTCAAATCGCGATGGAATGACTATGTCGAAGCGACTAAAATGTGGACAAGGACAAGGTGATCGCAATTACTGGAGGTGTCGTGATGAACACTTAAGGAAAGACCTCACACCAATGCGGTGCAGCGTTGGCAAACAAATCTGAAAGCGATCGTATTGAAAAGACATTAAAACACTCGCTGTAAAGGGAAGAAAACACCATGGTTGCCACAGGTTAAACCCCTTATGCATAACATGCGCGTGCGTGTGTGCGTGTGCATGCGTGCGCGTGCGTGTGTGTCTACGGGTGTGTGTGTTTGTAGAAGTGTCAGAAGCTATAAAGTGCCTCTCAGCAGATCTTGCATCATCTGCCTTATGCCTTACGCACACTGAAGTGGCTGGCCTTGCACTATGTTGGCTGTTTCTGTGTAACTCTACCCTGTGTACCGCCGTGAAGACGCCCTCTGCGTCGTTCACCGCCCCCATCGTCCTGCGATCGTGACGCCCCCTACGTCTCTCGTTGCAGGTCAGACAGATGGCACAGCATCTCGGCATCAGCGTCTTCACCATACGCAAGAAAGAAGATTGACAATTAGCCGACAATGCATGCTAATCTGGGGGACGCGAGGTGTTCCGCATCACCGGCGACCCTCCGGCGCCCTTCGTTCGACCTCCGCGCACTCGCGGGGGCGCCGCGAGCGTCGGCGGCGGCACCGCGAAGGTTTCTTGTGATGCGAGACGCCCGATGTGACCACGGGGGGGAGGCAGCGTTCGGACGCTGATTGAGCTTGGGAGCTTCCATGCGTGTGTGATATTAGTCTGTGACGGTGTCGTGTTGTTGTCTGTGGTGGAACGCTTGGTTATGTGAGCTGTTGTTTTATCTGCAGAGTACTTGAAAGGTGTGTGAGCAAGCGCAGTTGCGAGCGATTGTCGCTGTGCGTGGCTGCCGCTAGGGTGCCGTGATTGGTGCGGATTGGTGATGAACCATTCAGATACTCTGTAGTTGCATGGGTGTGCTTCCCCCTATGGTACCTCACTGTGTAGTCATCTAGCGATATGTATATCGTTATCAAAAAATTTTAATCGGAGGCATTGCGAAGATTAGTGACTGCTATTTTTCAGTGGCTTTCTTTTCTACCTTTTTTGCACTCGTTTTGTCTGTTCTTGTTGTGTTTACCCACTGCACCTATTGTTTCTTCTATCGTATTTCTATCTTTTTCGTTGTTGTTATTCTTGCTTACCACTTCAGCTGTTGTGCGTAACAACTCGTTTTCCTTTTTTCTCTCCAAGCAGTCTTTTCCTTTTCCAATATTTCTCACCACTGTTACGTCATTGGCTTCACCTCTTACTTGGCTTATTTCTTGCAAGCTATCATTTGATTTCGTTATTGGCGGAATAGGTGGTATAAACATTGGTAGATGACTAGACACGTGTTATCTCCCGGTTATTGTGCATTGTCTGGTGCGACAAAGGATCCAACGCCTTACCGTTGGAAAATGCCAACACGTGTGCGTATATAAATTAAGCATATATATCAAGAGTGCATAATAGAGATTATATATTATTCATAATCTCTATTATGCACTCTTGATATATATATATGGTATTATGACTTCGGCACTCCTGTTTAAACTAGCACAGCTACCCAGCACCGTTTTCATTGAGTCACGGTAGTGGATGGTAGACGATATATAGCATGACTATATGACCAGCTGCGACCTTATTACGTGAGCGTCTGTGGTGCTGTGTTGTGCTAGCTGCTGTGTTTCCATGCACGTCGGTCGTAGTGAGTGACTTTTGCGAAAGGAGCTAAACTTGTGAATTTTGCTGGCTATATAGGCCTATATGCGAAGCTAGTATTTCGTTTGCGGATTTCTTTATGCAGGTGTTATTTTGGGTTGAGATATGAGGATTATGGCAGTGATGTCGACTGCTAGTTGAATCGGCCATTGAAAAATAATTTTAGCTGACTTGATACCGTCAGGTATTCGTGTGAAACTTGGGCCCAGTTTTTAGTAGGTTTTTATGATGGCCTCACGAGATTTGCGATGCTGAACAAGTTTTTCCTTACCATTGGATAGATGAAATGGAGCACAATGTGTTTGGATAATTATATATATTAAAAGTGTGTGTGTGTACGTGTGTAATCTATATAGGTTATATATATAGGTTATATATATATATATATATATATATATATATATATAATAATATACTATCATCGATTCACTGAATAGACACCTCTATTATGGCCTCTTGATATATATATAACCGTAAGTCTATCCATTATAAGAATATATGGTGGCTCATTTGCAGATGTAAGTTTTCACTAGAGTGTAATTTGGTTGAGTACTGGTGTGTGTGATAGTGTAAGAAAAGTGTTATATTGTGTTACGCGCACGCGGTTTGTGGTCATTCCCATACCAAATTTCACTGCGCGTCGCTGCACGTCTTTCCGTATAATTCGTATAGGAAACCAAATATTTGCATGTAACCACGCGCTGTTGGGTCTAGCACACGCGTTCGTGGTATAGTTTGACGATAACATGAATTAGTGGTACGGTGATATAGTGGGGGCATTTATACGACTCGTGGGCGGTCTGAGTGGCCATCGGCACAACTACATTGCAGAAAGAAATAGTAGCGAATTAGACGGGTTAGTTTTCGTACGCTGTCGTCTTGCGGCGGTGAGAGTGTGACGTCAACTACTTTACCGTATATATTATGCTGATAGACAGACTGCCGGTGCACACTCGCTCCTCATCGCGGGCAGCAGAATGTTTTGTGTGCGTGCGCGCTCTGGGCGTGTGTAATGTGTGTGTGCGTGCGGTGCGTGCGTGCGTGTCAGTGAGTGAGTGTGTATGTATGTGTGCGTGCGTGTGTGTTGTGTGTGTGTCCGCTTCGTGCAGTGTAAATATTTATCGGTTCGTTAAAACAAGCTAGTAGTAAATTGGCAAGAGCTTAAGATGGCGTCCGGTGCGAGATGCAGTGGTAGAAGAGCAACCCCTCGGATGACAGTGTCCGAGCGTCGCTTGTACAAGTGACGGACACAAAACGTCGTCAATCCTCACTGGAGCTCTGCAGCATAATGTAGGAGAGGGTGAGCGAAGTGTAGTACGTGTGAGTGTGGAACGCTGTACGTGTGGTTATACGGGCGATGTGCGAACGCCCACCCAACGCTAGCTACCAGGTAAATGCGCATACATCCCCCGAACCCACCACCTAGCTTAGTCTACAGTTATACACAGAAGTATATCTTCCCCCTAGCTCTCCCTATAGCCCTTCGCTTCTGCACACAAGCCTGTGACGCACCCTGTGACGCACGCTGTGGCAGAGCGAAGGGGTTATAGCCTAGAAGCTACCCTCTCCCCAGCCTAGCCTACAGGTAAACGCACACAGTCACCCCCCCCAGCCTAACCACAGGTAAGATGCGCGAATATTCCCACTTCCCAGGCATGTACTCGGCTAATTGAGATCACAATACCCCCTCCGTTGTGGCCTCGCCTCTGTATTGCTGATCAACCCGTCCATGACCCCTCAAGGCTTCGTACTTGTGACAGGCGAGGGTGTATATCCGCTTCTATTGGCTTGAAGTGTTGTTGTTCCGTGTACAGCAATATAGCCACTACACCTAGCCTTCAGGCATGCAACCGCCCGTGGCACACCCCCGGCCCCCACGGGTTGCATGTTAAGAGCGGAACATCAACTATAGAAAATGAGAAACCCGGCGTCGATTTATGATGCACAATTGTAACATGTGTTTTACCGTACGTGCCCTACAATTGTGTGGTGTGGTGGAGAGACAGACACAGAGAGAGGGGGGAGAGAGACAGAGAGAGGGGGGAGAGACAGGTAGAGAGAGAGAGAGAGAGGAGAGAGAAGAAGAGAGAGAGAGAGAGAGAGCGAGAGCGAGAGCGAGAGCGAAGCAGCGAGAGAGAGAGAGAGAGAGAGAGAGATTAGTCGTTTTATGCCCGTGTGGTTCGGCACCACTTCGTACCGCGTGTGTGTCGCACGCATCAGTTTCTGTTGAGGGTGTAATAGGTAAGTGTAATAGGTAGGTGAGTGTAAAATAATATAGCCACTTTTGAATAGTTATTATTCGTCGAGGGTGCACGCGAATAGGCATAGTTTAGGAATTGGGCCCGAGCCTAGTTTAGCACCCCGGATTATATTAGTTTAGCACGTAATGCGAAAACACATTTGCGGGGTGCCAAACTATCCTTGATCCGGAAATTGTACGCGAATGGTTGCATTGGTACTCGTACTGCATGTGTGGCTTGCGTAGTCGACGAGGGTACTTGTATTTGATACGGCGCCTTCTACCTCCGCACAACGGCCAAATCGTAAATATGACCGTACACTGTATTTATTTATTTCGTGGGTGGGTGCGAGTATGGACTAAATTTCATGTTCCGTATTTCTGGTTTGGCTTCTCATTTGGTTGCTATTCATATTAAAAACGTTGAGACGGATGAAACGTTTCGTGTGCATGCTGTTTGTTCCTTATACCTCGAAGATAACAAACGTGTTCCTAAAGACATGTGCTATAATACGGCATTAGTATTCTATTTCTGCGAAATATGGGTATTATGCAATTTTTTTTTTAATTATCTGGCTGACTATAAATGTGTTACGTGATTAATACTATGAGGATCGAGTGTATAATATAGAAATACACTATATTATACACTCCGGGTACTATTTATCTATAACGAGTCCATCCCCTAAAATCCCCAGATGCTACCCATGCCTATTGTGGAGATGCATTCATGGTAAGACACATACACTGTAGTCTACATGCACTTGAACCTGTGATTTCCTTTCACACTACATACGGAGTAAGCTATATACTAGAGTCGATATAGTGCAGGAATGATACATTGATAGCGAATTTTTTTACATTATTTTCAAAGGCCTGATTCGATGTCAAACTGCTGAAAAATGCATTAAATTTTAGTAGCATGAACCAGAAATGGCCACATTTTTTTTATTGAATTGGTTGTGTACAGCCAATACTCTACTGCACAAAAAACATCTGATGTGCTAGTAATGTTTAAAATAAAATTCAGTTTGTATGAAAATGAAGCCTGACATCTATACTTATTGAATGCAATCCACGTGCGATACATTATTACATAAAGTTGCTACGACCAAGTTTGCAGTACAATACAGGGTCGAAAGGGGGCGGTTGCTCTCCTAGACGAATGTAGAGCAACGGTAGATAGCACGGTGAAGGCACCCGCAATAGATGTCGAACTTCCCGCGGTCAACTGCCCAGAACACAATCCACGCGTAGCTTTGCCTTCATTTCCCCAGGGAAAATTAGTTACTGTACGCCCGTGATGTGTCTACGTATGTGCGCGTCTCCGCCCCCTCTCTTGCTCTCACTCTGTCTAGCTCCCCCGCTCTCTCTCTCTCTCTCTCTCTCTCTCTCTCTCTCGCTCCCTCTCTCTCTCTCGTGCCCGTGCGCGCTCTCTTGTTCTTTCTTCTCTCTAAATCGTCTATCTCCGGGCTTTACCTCCAGACTCCCATCCTCTACTACTGTCTACCCATTACTCCTCATTTTAAACCCCTTTCGCGGATGGTAGTCGACAGATTAACTCGGCCAGAGTGGCTATACCGTTTCTATGGCTAAACTCTCAACGTCCGAATAATGCACGATAATATTGGGCTGCGATGTACGGCTAATAATGCGAAGTTAACAGTCACCACAAGCACACGGTAACAGAACGCCTTGTATTATACAACTAACCTGGATAATGGTTGAGGCGAACTATAGGATCAAATCCAGAAATGAACGGGATACTAAGAGAAGCGTTGCCGAAAGGAGATGTGTCCCTTGCGCTGCGCGCGATCTTACGCAGCGTTCCGCCCGCAGCCGCACGACGCAGGGGAGGGCGCAGCCTGAATCGGCGAACAGGCCGGGAAACGCTAACGCAAAACAGTATGCTACACAGTAACAGCTATGGAATCCGATGCGCCGAATGAATTGGGCGGGCAGCACGCTCCATAGCTGCAGCGAACAGTCCGCAATTTTTAAGTGCGGCGAGCCACAGAAGGGTTAGAACAATTGAGACGTCAACCCAGTGTTGAACTTGCTATAAAAACTGTACCGCGGTAAATCTGTTTCGTAACCGAGCTGTGTGGACGCGAAATCAAGAAAGACTGTCGAATCTCGCATGCACCATTACGCCGGAACCTGGCCCGCAGTAATCAAAACGGCTGTCACAATTGACGAAAACATCCTACCGGCGCTCTTCGGCCCGGCCAACGCTTGCAACGTTTTGGACACCGTTCCAGATGGCGAGGCTCGTAACAGGAGTTGAAACATGCGCCAGCCTCCGCCGCCTATAGGCCCAATAGACGGCACTGCTCGGTCGCACCCTCTCGGCTTTAGCATTAAGTCACGCAATGCTAATTCGAGGTGGGAGCGAAGTCCTAGTCTTATAAATACATCTTTTGCATCGCACCTTCTGAAAGAGAGTAGGCCTATACTAGAAAATGAACCAATTGTCGTAGTAAATGATTTCGTATTTAGTAGCATTATATTTAATAATTGATAGAAGACG